TCACTGTAGAAGAGATCTTGCCAGGCCAGGTGCTGAGTGGTATTGCCTTGGGTGAAACTGAGGTGAGCGGAATTCACATCCCTACTCTAAGACATATTGTTACTACCTGTTACATTGTTAGCCATATTAACTTGAATTCGGATGATTGTTAGATTTTTTTGATATTTGATTGTTCTCTTGTGCAATTTTGAAAAGAATTCTCAGATATTTATGTGCTCTTATAAAATTTGAATTCAGCATTCGTTATATACATTTAGTACAAATGTATGTTGTTTATTCTCCATGGGTTGAGTTTAATTGTTGTGTGAACATCTTCTAAAACATTACATTATGATTTGGCACTGAAATAAAAAGGTCATTCTGATCACAGAAATTCATGGAAATAGCAGTGGAATGTAAATTTGATTTTAGTAGAGGAAAATTTGCCACCAGAAGAATGACTTCATTTTCTTATTTTTTTAAAAGACTTTTTTATTTATGCATACAGAACTGGGGGACAGGCCAGAGGTGCAGGGGTGGTGGGAGGGTTCACCAGAGACAGAGAAGGGAACAAAGCAGGCAGATGGACGAAGTACACTCCTGAGGGGAGCAGCAGGCGAGACAGAAGAGGTCTGCTGCGCCATGTGGATCACTACCCGGGGCCCAGGGATTGAACTTGCACAGAAGTGGCTGCAGCTAGCTTGTAGTGCTGCGTTCTAACCTGTTGCACCACCAGGGTGGGCCATTTTCTCATTCTTTACAAGGCAAAAATCAAGAAGTTTACAGGATTAAGAGAAAGCACCTCTCTTCAGCCCCCTCCACCTCCCCCCCCACAATCAATCTATTGTGTCTTCTTGCTAAGATTGTAATGCCATGGGAAATTTGCCAAATCTCTTGAAGAACATAAATCTCAAAGCAGTGAGCAGCTGGTGTCATCATTTCATGTGTTTCAAAGGACTAGCATTAAGACGTCAAACATCTATTTATCAAAATTTCTTGCTAACCTTTGGTCTGCTAAACTTTAACTTACTGTTCAGTCACCATTTTTTGTAACCTGCAGTTCTGCACTCCTATACAAGGTCATAACTGCCTGGTCAATCAGTCACAGCAACCAAACCTTACAAGGTGCCTTTCAAATCAACCAAGAGCAGAAAGCTGGATCACCCTGGGAAGGTTATGTATCACAGGGTATGACCAAGGCACACCTGGGGGTGGGGGGGTTGGCTGATGATCAATGTATAAAGGTACTCCCAACTTACACATCATGAGGTATGATTGAAAATGCCTGGGAGGGGGAAGCTAAGAACACCTGCAGGGCCGATAACTCATGTATGACAAGGGAGCCCAGAAGCTGTTCAATAGAACACCTTGTTTTTTATTTATGCATACAAGAACTAGGGTATAGGCCATAGGTATGGTGGAATTATCTGGTCAGCAGACTCATGTTTCCCCTGGAGCCCTAGATGATGAAAGTACATTCTTTAGTTTCACCCATCTTATTCTCTTTGTCCTCCAACTCCACATAACTGATGCTGTATGATTATTCTATCAATAAAAAGACAAGGCTCTTGCTTGTTCAGCAGCATCCTGCATTATGCAGTCTCCTCCATGACTCCAGTTTATCAGTATGGTGTTGCTTTTGAGCAGAAGGCAATAGTGAAGCCCTCAGGAATACTTTGCCAGCCATGTTCCTAGTAGCCCAAGGGTGATACTGTACAACAAAATGCAGATATCAGTGACTCAGTTCACTGATGACATGATTGAACCTCTGGATCTCCTTAAGGTAGTTTGAGGTGGATTTACTATTGCTTGTAAAACAAAGCTTCCAACTGAATGAAGTTTCAGTAAATGTTCACAAATGCAGCAAATGATATGATGATTCTTCAGGCAGCACCCAATTCTGGGAATAGAATGATTGACACAAGCTATATGCAACTTCTGTCTATGGACAAATTCCAGATGGAGGGGAAATGCTCTGAAAAATCAGAATTTCCACGCTAACTTATGTTATGACCTCCCTTTTTTGTAATATCAAAATATTCTAAACAAACATCAGCTTGCAACCGGACTGCCTTAGCCTCATAAGGCGCTGCCTGCCTCAGGCAAGTAAGCGCTGCCCCAAGACAGAAAATTCCTCTAGAAAACAAAAAATAATATTACAAGTGGCTGATTAATAAAAGCAATTATAACAAAATCAATATTGTAAGACAAGGCAGTGCTAGAACATGCTAAAAAATAATTAATGTTCTTTTACTGCCCAGAGGAGAACCCAATCTTATCACTCTACTCTCTTACTTAAGCTTTTATTGCTCAGTCTTTAAATGAGGAGTCTATCTCCCTTAGTGATTAATCTACCAGAAAACTCCTCCAGCCTAGTCTTTGACTTTACTTTACCCTCTTTCACAACTTCACCTTGGCCCGCGACCTCATCTTATCCCACTTCACATCTCCAGCCCAGCCTCCACCCTACCCCTTGACTTTACTTTACCCTCTAAGATATCTCAATGAGAATGAAGATCATTAAGTAGCATTTAAGGTTTAAAGGGACTTTATTTTAGCTAATCATCATTGTGGTAAATATAACAATGTTAGTCTTAAATTTTATGAATTTATGTACCTATCTTAACTTTAATAGATTGATTTTAAGATTAATGAATGTTATATCTCAGCTAAAGGTCAATATGACCCTAAACTGTTCTTAGAAAAAAAGATGATTATAATCTCTCAGCCCAGTTCATGCACTGATGGCATCCCACTGCTTGCTCCTAATGTATAAAATAAACTTCTGCTAAGAACAGAACAGGAAGACTTGCACCCAACTCCGACTCCCATGTCTCTCTCACGCCTGCTCCCCTTTTTCTCTCTTTCCCCCTTTTCACCGACGCCACTCCCACCTTGAGACCTTGCCTGTTCTGCCCCCCAACAACCCATGATTGGGATGGTCCCCAACAAATAATCCCACTCCCCAGTCCTAAGTCAGTTACTGATTCAGTTGACGAACTATTGGTTATTTCTGTTGAGGACTCCAGAAAAAGAACCCTGAACTCTTTGCTAGGTTGCACACTCTGGAAATAAAACATTTTTTCATACTTAAAAAAAAAAAAAAGACAGTGGAATTCAGGGACATTGGCCAGGAAGAAGCTGATCCATGCACATCCATTTTTGTGGCACATAACAATTCCAGCTCTTGTTTTGACATTCACTCATCTACAGAATGGCAATCTTGGCCTCAGATAATGAAAACAAGCACTCATTTTTACTTTATTGTCATTTCCATCCTAGCTCCTTCTGAAGCTTCCCATTGAGTGTGGACATACTACAGGACCATTAGTTTAAAAAACCTTGTTATCTTGATGGCCTGTCACTGCTGAGTGAGCAGGCAAAATAAGCTCAACATGGAGGTAGCTGTGACAGTGAACCCCAAGTCTTCACCACATCTGCCTCCTGCTTGCAAAGGACAGAAGAGTTTCCCAGTTTCTGTCAAGAAGATAACAGCTATGTTTGAAAAGATTCCAGTCAAACTAATTTCTACCTCCTCAAATTCAAACTCTAGATTATTCTATAATCTTCACAACACTAGAATTCCTTTTCTCTTTGGGACTGGCATATGTTTGTATTTTTGTTTTTGTTTGTAATCCTTGAGCTTTGTACATAAGTTTTCCTGTGCCCACTTGCTCATGATTTAGTCTTCTTGACTGAAGACCGCTTTTTAATGAGTTCAGCTTGTACCTTCCGGACAAATTAGGAGTGTGAGCAGTGTGTTAATTAGCTATCAGCTCTAGCCAGGTTTTTGAAGTCCAGAGTCTGGAATGTTACATGAATGTAAATATACTCATAGCTTTTTTTTTTTTTTAAATCTAGTGAATAATTTTATTACAGCAAACCTCAGGGAGTTTACTGGGATTCTGACCCTTGAATGGTTCTGTCATTTAGTCTCTGGAGAACCATACCCAAAAGAAATGTTTCCTGTTTTGTTCTTTTTCCCTGCAACCTTCCTTATTGTTCATCAAACATCCTATTTCGGGGTGGTGAAAATGATTCTTCCCCTCCCCTTCAGCAGGAAAGGAGGATGAGGCAGGACTGAGAAAGGTCCTTAAGGAGAAAACTCTGCTTGTGACTACACCAGCATTGTACCAATTTATAGCAAATACGTTCAAATCAAATATATGTATAATCACTCAAAATGATCCCAGTCACCCCCCAATTGTGAGTCATCCGCCCTATAATAACACTTCGCAAGTTGGATATTGGTGCTAGCCCTGGATTAGGCTCCCAGGCCCCATAGGAGAAGCAAAGGAATTCAGCCTAGTTATGGGAGATTTCTTGAACAGACCCAATGGTTTACAAGGAAACTGGAGTCCAGGTGGGTGGTTAGGAATTTGGGTATCAGGTTGGTAAGGGAGGACTTTGGATATGCCAGGGATCTGTGCTCCAGGCTACCGCTCACCATCTTCTGCCCAATGGTCAGCACTTGGGGGTGAAAGAATTTGGGATGAGTCCAGAGACTAGCAATTCTGAATTTATCCCCAAGGCTTGAAGGCACACTCATCGGAAAGCGTCACGACTAAAGATTCCCCGCTCCCTATGCAGGGGGTGGGCGGGTGAAAAAACAACGTCAGAAATATTGCTCAAGCACTCATGGAGAACTGAAAGGTGGTGAAAGCCGGACATGTATGTACATGACAGGTGCTTTCAAATGCTAGTAGGGCCCTCTGGGTCTCTTTTGGCAATAGGCAGGGCCCCTAGGAATGCGTCACAGATTTAAAATCACCGCTTGCGCAGGGCTGATCGAAGGTAAAGCTGTGAGAAGGAATCTCGGGCGCGCGCGAAGGACAGTGGCCATGGTTGGGGGCTTTGTTCCCGCGGGCCGCGCCGCCAGAGCCGGGAGCCGGAGCTCCTCCTACAGAGGGCGGGGCTTTCTCCGGAGCGGGCTGAGGGAGGGCGCCTCCGGGGCGGGGTGGGCGGGGCTCGGTCACGTGAGAGTGGCGGCGGCGCGCGGCGGGACGCTGGCGTGAGCGTGCGCAGGCGCAGGGTCCACTCCTGGGACCCTTGGGGTCCAGGAGGTACAAGTCCGCTATTCCCTTCGGCGTCCGGCGGGACAGGAGGCGGGCGGGAGGGAAACGCTAGCAGTACGTGTACGTTTAGGGCTCTGCGAGGCAAGTGAAGTCCGCGAAGGCGGAATCCGTCGAGGCAGGTGAGGAAACTGAGTCAGGATCGGGAAAGAGGGGCGCGTCGCAGGTGTGCGGGATGTGTGTGAGGTCCGGAGCCGGCGTGAATCTCCTTTCGTTGCGACCCGAGTCCTGCACCCTCCCTCAAGGATGACGCCCCGTCGGCCTTGGCGGCGCCTAGTCCCATAGCCCCTTGACCCTCGGTGGGAAGATCCGGCGTTCGGGGTTACAGGACCGGGGGCCGGAACCTATGCCGACCCGATCCTTTTCTTCCCCTCCCCCAGGCGTTGAGGCTGATGGCAGGTAACAGCCTGAATCATTTTTCCCAAAAAAAACTGAGAAAAGGACTTTGCCCTGAGGTGTGTCTGCCTCGTGGGGTCGGGCCCAGACGTTCCCAGGGGATAGCGAGGATAGTGGGCAGAACAGCTAGAGTTGAGGGATAGAGAGGCGGAGGGACCTAGCCGTCCTTGCCTCTGCTTGTCTAGGGTCGTGCAGTTTCGGGGACCCCGGTTTCCAGCTTTTTTTTTCTTTTTTTTTTTTTTCATAATCTCACATGCACCTCTTTCTTCCCTCCCACAAAAGTTACAAACTCCTAACAAAATTGGAAAGAGCCCAAGTGTACTGTAGTCTGGGGATGAAAGGAAGAACGAGACACCGGTCTGACTGTCTCTCATGGTTGTTGCAGGAGCCAGGAGGAGGTGAAGGAGTAAGATTAAGGTCCATTCTGACTAGGGCTCCTGGGGAGACAGCAAGCCTGGCCAGCCAGAAAGTAAACTAGGGTGCAGGCCCAGCTGACCCTAAGCCATTTTGCCTTTACCATGTATACCACTCTGTTTCTGCAACCCAGTTATTCAGACTTTATTTTTGGGCTTTTTTTCACCTGGTATATTTGATTAAAAAGAAAATGATCACTTAGGATTTATTTTTAAAAACATTAAACATGAACCAGCTTGTATAGTTTTGGTTGCTTCTGCCCCCACCCAGCCCCGGTGACTGAGAATTGAGATCCAGAATGCACACTTGACTCCTTGGAACATATACAGTAATCAGGAACCTTCCATTTTGTGTACCATCAGTGTTTTATGGGTAATCGTTATCATTGATTAACTTAGAAGTGAGAAACAAGTATACCGCACATTTATAGCACTCTTTGTAAGGTAGTTTATAGCACTCTTTATAAGGTAGTTTACATGGCTCCCATATATTTTATTCTTTGATTTCTAGAACTCTAGAAAATAATTCAGGAATCATTTATTTTACCAGTGGAAAAACAATGCCTTGTACTGGTTTTACAATTTGTAGGAATTTGAATTAGATATTAGTTACTCTTGGTCTGGCCTTTCCCACACCTCCTCCCTTCATAAAGGCATGTTACTTAGTTGAGATTTTATACATTGTGTCTGAGAGGGAGAGATGTTTCTGAGAATGTCTGGTGAGCTCATGTTACTTAAATGGTGCTCAGAAAAGTTTGGTTAGGACTAGAATTCTGGGACTCAACCCATCCTCCTGTCCCCCTGCTCTGTCAGTATCTCAGGAGTAAGGCATCTTTCCTACCAGCTAGGAAATTTGCCTCTTCATGAAATGTGGCACAGAGGAACTCCAAGTTTCCCCATTCTGAAGTTTATGTGGCAAAAACTATCCAGAGCCACTGCGTAGGAACCAGCCTCACCTCTGAGCTCAGTAGCCTCTGGCACAGGGAGATTATAATTGGGCAGTGCCCTTTGCCTTCTCTGGAGCTGGTAGTGCAGAAGGCAATGTTAATCAGGCTGCAGTAGAGGCAGCATGAAGTCTGTGTTGTGGAATATGCAGAACAGGCAGTTGGAGGCTGAGGCAAGTAGGTGAGAGCTCATTGTGGCTAGTCCCAGAATACTCGGTGGCAAGGGTAAAGGGGAGGCACCCCCTACTGCTCATGGGGTCCTGGGTATCTGTATAACTGGGCTAAACTGGTATTTTCAAGATAGAGCCTTGTGATGTGGAGAGTAGAGGTACAGAAAGGCTTCTCAGCTGAGAATGGGCATTGATAAACCGTAAGAAAACATTTGTCTGTGGATTAAACTGCTTACAAAGCATCAAACTTGGGAAAGGCAAGCTCTCTAGCCGCCAGATTCCCCAAGCTCTATTCAGGAGCAGTTTTGTTCTCAGCTGCCTTCTTGCCAGGGAGCAGACTGCAGACATTTAGACCATCCCTTCCTGAGCCCCAACCCCTGACACCCCCCTTCTCCCCTCCCCACACACACGGGTCCAGCCTCTGCGGCAGTGTCCAGCACAAGATAAATAGCCATGGATTGGGAGTTGTGAGACCTAGACCTGAGTCCCAGCAAATCACCATCCAGCTCCTTGTGTGTCTTAGACTAGTAATGTCTCCTCTAGACCTCAATTTTCTGATTTCCTCAGTGAAGGATGGGCAGGACTGAGACTTTTGAGAGAAAGAGAAGGGAACCGGATGGCAAAGAAAGAAGATGAAGCATCCTTTGTAACCTTGTTTACTGAGGCCTGAGGCAAGAAGGCCCAGGTGCACTCACAGTCTCCCTGGGTGCTCCTTTCTTCTTTCTTCCCTGTCTCAAGCCTACTCATTCTGAAGAGGGAGGATTCCTTGGGTGGGACTTGGGCTGGGCAGGTGTACCCTTCAAGTTTAGAAAGTTACTGTCTCTACTTGTTTTAGGCATGAGTTAACCCTCCCAGCACTGATACTTTGTTTTATTATCATTATAACAGTTTTGCCCAGAAGCAACCCCTGAGCAGGGTGGAGGAAGCAGGGAGAGTGAAAGAGTACCCTCCAGCATGAGAGTAGTAGTGGCAGGTACTCCCCATCGCTTTGTGGATGCCAGATCCCAGAGGTTGCTATAATGTGGGACTTTCAAGTCTTGGGGTATCAGAATTTATTACTTTTTAAAGATTTATTTATTTATGCATACATAACTGGGGTACAGGCCAGAAGTACAGGGGCGGTGAGAGGATTCACCAGAGACAGAGCTCGGAGCAGAACAGGCAGAT